GAGCTTTACAGAAAAGAATGTTGCATGTGAGGTCCTGAGAAAAATCTTCTACCAAACACATGAATTTATAAAAACAGAAACCCTCTTCGGCTAAAAAAAGCCAAACTTGCTCTGTAGCATTCAAATGCTTCTTTTCCCCATCCCAGCTTTCTTCAAGATCACCAGCTTCCCCAAAAAACTCAGAAGAGAAAGTGATATGGTCGGGCTGGTTCTGCTGTGTGTCTGGCGATGACCTTTCCGAGAACGTGCCAGAGGACTTCACTTGTTTACCTTTGTTTCTTGCTAGTGGGGCAGAGAGTTACACGTCCATTGTTGGAAGTTGGTTTCAGAAGACTTTTGACTGCTGCTTCCGCCGTTTAGCTATCAGCCCTCTCAATCTCAGCTGGATGGCAGCTATGTGGACTGGATGCAAAGTGGACAAAACTGCATCTGCCATGGAACTTGTTTTCTCTGTCCCCCGTCTGCCCCAGCCTCTGGATATTTCATATGCCATTCATCCAGAGGATGCAAAAGCTCTGTGGGACACAGTCCAAAAAACTCCAGGAGAGATCACTCAAGAAGAGGTGGATGTCTTTATGAACTGCCTTTATTCTCACTTCCACAGACACTTTAAGATCCACTTGTCAGCTACAAAACTGGTCAAAGTTTCTACAACAATTGCCTCAGCACACTGTGATGGGATTATAAAGGTGAGGTTTTAAGTAGCATGTTGTCCTAACTAATGCTGGACAAATAAAAGAGTTGTACCTGACTAGAAATGCCTTATTTTAAAAAATGAAGGTTTCGTGTTTCTTATGCATGATCTCCTACAAGAAGTTAGTTAAACCCTCAGCTTTTATCAGTCATAATTAGTTCTAGTGTTGGAGCAGCTATCAATACAGTATTTTACTACTGTATTGCAGCAGAAGCTAGTAACCCTAGTCTTGGGCTAGAAATAGGTGTATTAGCTGCAGCATGAACAGGAAAGTTTCTTTGCCCATTGGCCAAAACTTAGGCTTAAAAGATCCCAAGCTTAATCAAAAACCTTTAAAAAAAAAATAGTTTTCTAGTATTGCAGTTATTAAGATAGACAGAAATCACATATAATTAACCCGCTATATAAAAAACTGGTGCGTAGGTGGGCCAAAAGACAGCAGATGATCTTAAGAGTCAAAACATCTTGCTTAAAACTACTTCACTTGTAACCCTTTTCATAAAGGTTCTGGTCTCCCTATAAAGGTATCTATAATATGCTTTAGAACCATAGAGGATTAACCCTTCCTGAAGTTTCTTCAAGCAATACAATGTGATCTTTTGAGTTAAAGAACAATTTGTGTAAATGCAATTGCTTAAATTTAGTCTATGATGTGTGCTGACTTCATTGTTCTGGGTACAGAGGGAATGTTAGAGGCTACAACTGGGACCCCACTCATGCACGCCCTTCCTGGAGCATGAGTTCATCAAATGAAAGAAAATAAGCTTTGCTGGGAAGCATCTCTTAACAATTTTGCCCTTTGGTAGGACAACTGCAAATCACTAAATGTTAGTGTTACATTGCCTGTTCTTACCTGTAGTGGTTTAAAAGTGACTGAAACAACTTTATGTTGCAGGCAAGTAAACACAAGAGATACTCGACTGAATAGGCTTTCTGAAGAAGGGTTCTCTTCTGGAAAGTATGTTCTGTAAACTCAGTTACGGCTCCTCCGCAATAGGGATAATGAGTTCGAGTCAGACATATATTCAGTATGGGAAAATATGAGTATTCAAGGAAACTGGCATAGAAGGAGGGAGGTAGGAGCAGGGCATTTCTAGGTATCCTGCTTCACACGGGACAGGAGCAGAAGTCAGAGGGCTCTCAAAGAAGCAGCATGTAGGCATGTGTGTTTTCTCCATATCCAGGGTCAAAATAGTAACAAAACAACAGAGAAGCTGACTAATCACATGGAACACCATTTAAGGGTGGGCAACTGCAATTTTTGTTTTGACATGCTTTTTTTCTTTCTTACAGTTTCTACAAAGCCAATACCTAACTGGAGTGCTGATGCTACTGACCGAACTAGCAATCTCTCAGATACAGTGAGAGTCATTTCAGTAAATCTTCACGCTAAACAAACTTACTGTTGGAAGATGTATGCTGAGAAATTGATTGGAAACTCACTCCTGCAGCATCTTTCCTTTCATGCTGGCTGTCTGAAGTTGGACTCTAACTCCTGCACTCAACTCCGTAACTAGATGTAATTCAATGTCACGCACAGCAGACAAGCAGACATTTTGCCCTAAAGAAGGGCTACAGTACAAACTTCTAATAGCTTTGCTTTATCATAGTCACTCTGTTCATTTTTATGTGTAGATATCAGCCAGGGGCTAGGAGATAAACTTTGCAAATTCTTGGATGCAACTTATTGACAGGTATTACTGTTGTTTCAAATAGCAAGTTGGTTTCCACTTAACTAGATAGCCTAAGCTATACAGACCTTAGCCTTAGCTAAACTGTGACTACTCTTGGGCCAATCTAAATGCACAGTCAAGCACACCTGAGTAAGGATGCATGCTCTACAACCCAGGGCAGAAAAATCCAGGTCTCTAACTTCCTTTCTAGCTTGCTAAGGCCAGTTGGTAATGGTCATAAAGTGTTCATCTACATCCCCATCATCTACATGGGCTCAGGCAAACAGCATGAGACTGACAACTGCCTTGTGTGTCCAGCCTGTTGGTTCTCTCAGACAAGTTAATACATAGGAAATTGAGGTCTCTGTATAAGCTAGATATTTACTATTCTTTGCCTGATGTTTGTTGCCTTGGATGTCATCTTGTAGGCTAGAGAGCTGGGGGGGTGGAGCTATGGGTGCTAAAATTTTATACTGTATCTCTCCCTTCTACAGCAAGTAGGAGTTCAGAGAGGTAGTAACAGTGCCTGGCTGTAGCTTAAATGAGCAGAAAGGAAGTAGAATAAGTACATGCTAAGTGTTCTGATTTCTGTATTACAGTACTAAATAAAGAAAATATTTGCTATCTTTTGCCAACAGATTGGTCTTGAGCAAAGTAAAGACCACCTATATCTGATTATATATTTGTGTGGTGTTTATTTACAACTATAGCTTACCTGACTAAACTACTAATTGTTACCTATTAAATAATAGGTGAGCAATTAAATAAAGGTGAGCAGCAAAATTTAAAGTCTAGTTTCCTATACAATTTACTTGCAAGAGCTTCACCCTTGTGCAGCGTTATCTAAGGTCTGATGAGTTTGTGCTGTGACCTTCCCCCTAGGCAGGGATGCAAGTTTTCCTTTCTTTGCCCAACCACGTAATTTTAGCATTTATTTGTCAGCTGTCGCTAAAACCATTCATCATTCTTCTCCCCAGCAGCACTGACATGAACGAGCCATGCAAACATGTAACTGCCTAACATGACATAATTGCATGCCTAGCTCCTAATCTATTTTTAATAATCTGTCTCCAGAATTAGCCAAAGAAACATGCACTTGTTTTTAGTTTTCGTTTACTAGTTGAAGATGGATTATTTTTGCTTGTAAAGGTTACAGCCTACAAAGTGGTAACTCTTACCCTGGTAGAAGCAGCTAAGCAATCTTCTGAAGGCCTTGACAGCTCAGCAGCTATTTAAACTATCACTTCTGGTGCTTCTGTTTCCTTTTCTGAAACATCTTAGACAAAGTTTGCTATCTCAAGGCTATTCTCAGAGGAACACTGGGTAAAGCAGGAGTAGGTCTGACATAACTGGCACCTGTATTTGATTTGAAAACAGGCCTGTTACACCCATGGCTTAGTTTTAAATCTAATTCTCATCTCTTTCCAATAAATTTGCATAAATAATCTCTAAAAAACTAAATTCCAGATAGCCTCTTTTAACCTTTTCCTTGCCTTAAGAACACAGCCTAACAGCATATGAAATGACAGTGGAATATGTATATGAACTACAGCCATACTCAGCTTTTAAGAGTGATGATTTGTTATGTATGTGTGGTATCTACTACAGCCTAGCTGGAAGGTATTGCTGGAATGAAAAGCTACTTTCCTTTTTTTTTACATGCTTATCTGCAAATGGGGGTATAGCCCACATTGATAACTGCAGTTAAGTGAACAGAGCTAGATTTAGCCAGATAGCACAGATACTTTCTTCCAGAAAAAGCTGGTTCTGAATTATGTACTGCTAAGCAATTGAGGCTAACACCAAACAGCAGAGTTTCAAGCCAGTTTTACTTGGACTGGTATCTGAAAAAGAAAACCAGCATCTATGTCCACACAAACTATACAAAAGCATAGTCCACTGCTTTCACCCAAAGGAACAAACAAAGAACAGCATAGAAGAAATTTATTAAGATAGCACTATTTATACAAGTTACTCATGCTAGAAAAAAGCATAAATGATAGATGTAAACATTTGTTTACAGAATACTTGTTTTCCTTGTAAAGGTGCAAATGATCTTCATATGTAAACACAAGAATACCGACCTTTAGGGGAAAAGGGGCTTTTAAAAAAGTTTTAATGACCCATTTATTACTATATTCAAGCACATTAAAATGCTGAGTTACATGAATCAAACTATGAAGTTAAAGAACTTAAGATGTCAGCACTGCCTTTTTCATCTCAAGAATTTACAGTCCTCTTTTAAAATAAGATTTAGTAAGGTCCAAAGTTATATCGGGTGCAAAAGGTCATTCTTTCATACTAGATAGAAATTACAGTACAAACGTATCCGAACCTTTGAGTCTAGAGTTCCTCCTTCCTCTCCCCCCACCCCTGGGTGCCTCCGCAGTCACTGAAACGTGACAGTTACTCACAGTGCCAGCAAACAGTCCCTCCCCTCCAAACTCTTTAATGAGCCTCATACCTTTCCCTGCTCTAAACACACAGGGGCAAAGTGCATAAAAATCACTAAAAGGGAGGGTACCATCTCATCATGGTTAGTGTTTTACAAGAGGAATTCTAAAGACACAGACAAGAGGCAGGAGGGCAGTT